GTAATATATATATATTACTGCCTACTATGCCTAGTGTGCAATATAGCCCAGGTTCAAATCCCAGTAAGGGTATGGCTAGCTGATGAGAGCTAAATAGCTTGAAATAGATCTATACTAGTCTCCCTTTATTTATTTATCAGCACAAATAAAAACACACACACATATATATATATATTTAAAAAACAAAAGTTAAAACAGCACTGGAGAAACGGACTTACGACCATTTTTTCACACTTACGACCGGCTTCTCCCTTGGCTTTGCTGGTCAAAAGCTGGCCAAAGGGGCTCAGGGGACAACCTCACCCCCCCCTCCAGGACACGCCGACCGTCATAAGAATCTGTATTTTGGTCACGTGACCTGTAACGGTCGTGTGGGGAAAACAGTCAGTTTTTTGCAGTTGTTATGTTTGAACGGTCACAAAACGGACTGTCGTAAGTCGAGGACTACCTGCAGGGGGTTCTGTCAGAGGGAAAGTCCAAAAAAGGTCAAACTGGACGCCACGAATGGGGGGGTCCAAGCCACGCCCCCTTCAGGCCTAAAGGGGGCGGAGTCCAGTCCTCCTGCCATGGGTGCCATTTTGACTTTTTTGACCTCGAGCGCCTTTTCCCTTCCTCCCAGCAACCTAAAATCCTGATTTTGGAGACCCTCAAACTGTGTTTCCTTCTCTCTTCGCAGACCCAGTATTTTATCCCTCCGTCCAATGTGGATTTCCAGGAGCACCTGGAGGAGCACCGGAGAGAAATCGCCATCATGCTGAGGTCTTCGGAATTCAACCAGGACAAGACAGCCCTCATCGTCACCAACAGCCCCTTCCCCCTGCTCATCTCTGGCCAGCACCTCACAACCCCTTTCCAGTTCTTTCCCAAGGATTTCCCCAGGAGGGTAAGTGGACGCTCTGTGCGTCCACCCAACAGGGAAATGGATGGATGGATGGATAGGATGGGAAGGAGGGAGAGAAGGAAGGACAGAAAGAAGTTATAAAAGAAGGGGAAGGAAGGAAGGAAGGTTAGGTAGGCAGGCAGGCAGGCAGGCAGGCAGGCAGGAAGGAAGGAAGGAAGGAAAAGAAGGGAAAGGAAGGGAGGGAGGGAGGAAAGAAAAGAATGGAAAGGATGAAAGGGAGGAATGGAGGGAGAAAGGAAAAGAAGGGGAAGAAAGGAAGGAAGGGATAGGTAGGGAGGAAGGGAGGGAGGGAGGGAGGAAGGAAGGAAAAAGAAGGGAGGGAGGAAGGAAAAGAAGGGAAAGGAAGGAAGGACAAGAAAGGAAATGAAAGGAAAGGAAAGGAAGGAAGGAATGGAGGAAGAAAGAAAAAGAAGGAAAAGGAAGATAGGAAGGAAGGAATGAAGGGGTAGGGAAGGAAGAAGGAAGGAAAGAAAAAGAAGGGAGGGAGGGGGGAAGGAAGGAAAGAAAAGGAAGAAAAGAAGGGGAAATTAGGTAGGTATGAAGGAAGGAAGGAAAAGGAAGAAAGAGAGGGAGGGAAAGGTGGAGAGAGAAAGGAAGGAAGGAAGAAAAGAAGAAAGAGAGAAAGAGAAAGAAAGTCACCTCCCATTTAATAGAGGGAATCCAGAGGGTGGCTGTATCCCTTGTGGATTGGTTCAATGACACACTTAATCAGAATAACAGAGCTGGAAGGGACCTTAGAGGTCATCTACTCCAACCCCATTTTACCTAGCCAGTTACCCAGAATTGTAAGAGAAGGACTAGGGATGATTAGGGGCGAGTGTGTTTGTGTGTGAATATTGCACAGCCTGGTATGATACAGGTAGTCCTCAAATTACGACTGGCTGCTTACCGACTATTCAAAGTCACGACAGAGCTCCCCAGATCTACTTAAGACTCACATTCGAAGTTCCAACACCCACCCGCTTGGTCACATTTATGGCTATCCGATGGTCAAGTGACCACAATTTATTAACTTTTTTTCATCAGAAACTATCATTTAATCCCAGATTTCTGGTCAAATATTGCCCATCGTGGACATTGGATTCACTTAACGACCGCCACCGAAAAGGTTGTAAAACTGGTCACCGCCACTTGGTGACCCACTTAAGAACTAACCACAACTGATGACCATAATTCCAGGCTCAGTGATGGTCGTAAGTTGAGGACTGCCTGTATCCAACGTACCTCCCCCTCCCCAATTTCACAAGGGCACTGACTCTCTTCCTTTCCCACCCAGCCGTTCCCACAGAGCTTCCGGGATCAAACCCCCCGCTGCTTACCCCCAGTGGGGGTCTCACCCAAGGAACTCCCCGGGATGGAGACCAAAAAGCTGAAAATCCCCACGCAATTAAGGTACCAAATCCTACAGGCTGTGCATTATGGTTTTCCTTTCCTATTAAAGCAACTTAAGAGGTCATCATTGTCTTTTAACAAGCCCATAATCCCTTGCAGGGTGGAGTCAGGGCAACTGAATGGAGCTAGCAGGGTGTTTGAATGGCCAGATGCCATTCCTGTTGCCAATGAGGAGTTTTGTTCGGCAGATACATTCTCATTGTGCCCAGAGAGAGAGAGAGATCTGCCTCTACCTAGGATCGAACTCACAGCCTCCTGATTGTGAGGCAAGAGCTCCGCCTCTAGGCCACGCCACCGCTCATTAAAGCAACTTAAGAGATGCCGGGGCCCAAATCAAGACTGACACGTGATTCGTTTAGTGACTGTTCAAAGTTACAACGGCCCTGAGAAAAAGTGACTTAGGATCCCATTTCACACTTACGACCATTGCAGCATCTCTGGGGGGGGGGTCACGTGATCAAAATCCAGACACTTGGTAACTGACTCATATTTATGACGGTCGTAACGTCCTGGGGTCACGTGATCCCCTTTTGCAATTTTTTTCCTTTCCTCTTTTCGACCGTCTCATCATTATTCCTAAGAAGTCAATGCTTCCTGTCCACAAATGTTTTTATTTCCTAAATCTTAGATACGGAGATATTATTTTATTTAGAATCCTTTTCAGCAAAATCTTTCGCTAGCCACCCGAATATCCTGGGGTCCAAACGGAGATTTCTGAGCGTGAAGAAAGAAAAAAGTATCTTGTCTTTTCAGCAGGTTCACCAACAAGAAGGATTTCAAAGGCGAAGCCCGTTTCTCCAAAAATTACGCCGAGAGGCGTTTACAAAGGTTGTATCCTCAGCTCCAACTGCATTCCAGACTAGGTAAGATTAACAGAGCCGGAAGGGACCTTGTAGGTCATCTAGTCCAACCCGCTCCCCCCTTGGCCAAGCAGGAGACCCTACACCATTTCTGACAGAAGGCCCTCAAGTCTCTTCTTGAAAGCCTCCAGGGATGAAGCTCCCACCACTTCTGAAGGCAACTTCTGTTCCATGGGTTGATTGTTCTCACTGTCAGAAAATTTGTCCTTATTTCCAGGTTGAATCTCTCCTTGGTCAGTTTCCATGTGTTATTCCCCTCCCTCCCTCCCCGCTCTCTCTCCAGATATCCAGTGGTAGTATTCAGCCATTTCGGCAAACCGGTTATTGAATGCTGGCTGAACCTGTCCCTTCCTGCCCCACTCCTCCCAGGAGTCCCCCCTACACCGTGTTTTGGCTCCCAAAAGTGCAGGGGNTAACCCTCGTGAAAACTAAACCACTGCGAGGAATAAAACCCCTAAATAAAACCACAGATTCAACACTGCCACTGAACACGGCCCTTAGGATCTTCCTCTCGTAAGCATCAACTTGGTCGCGGCTGAACTGAAGTTTGCAAAAAATAATTCCCTGTAATAGGGACGCGGTGGCCCGGTGGCGAAGATGCTGAGCTTGTCGATCAGAAAGGTCGGCGGTTTGGCGGTTCGAATCCCTAGCGCCGCGAAACGGGAGTGAGCTCCCGTTCCTTGTCCCAGCTTCTGCCAACCTAGCAGTTCGAAAGCACATGAAAAAAATGCAAGTAGAAAAATAGGAAACACCTTTGGTGGGAAGGGAACAGCATTCCGTGCGCCTTCGGCGTTGAGTCATGGCGGCCACATGACCACGGAGACGTCTTCGGACAGCGCTGGCTCTTCGGCTTTGAAACGGAGGTGAGCACCACCCCCTAGAGTCGGGAACGACTAGCGCATACGTGCAAGGAGGGGAACCTTTACTTTTACCTTTAATGGCAACTGTGTCTTTGATTTATTTACAGCGCAGAATTTAATCTTTAGTTCCGATGTCCGCCGTGCGCTGTTCTCGCCGGAAAAAATTAAGCGTAATCGGAATTGAAGCGTTGCAGAGCAATTGGGCATCCAGCGTTGGCGGTTTCCCGCTTGACGTTGACTGCTTTTCGATTGATAGGCAACATCGCTTACCAACACTGAAGGGGTTGTCTGAAGTGGTGTAGGGTTTCCTGCCTAAGCAGGGGGTTGGACTAGAAGGCCTCCAAGGTCCCTTCCGATTCCGTTCTTCTATTCTCATGTTGATGGCTTATTTAGTATCCCATGACGATCCCTAAGGGTTGAATCTTATGATTCACGAGGAATGTATTTTTTTTATGACGGCTACAATTTATCACTTAGAGCTGGTACGTCCAACGAGAGCTTATGCACCGGAGACAAATTCCTTCCGTGTGTGTTTGTGTCCAATCGCACTCGGCCAACAAAGAATTCTAAAAGTTTTGTAGTGTGACGCCGTTGGCCTTCCCATCTCTGACTCCAACCTACTTAAACTACCTGATTTTTTTCACCTTTCTTCTAACTTTTTAATGTGTTGCTTTAGCTTTTCACTCCCAATTTTTGCCTCGTTGACCTCTGCGTCTGTGTGTGTGTGTGAGTGTGTGTATCTGGCTTGGCCTGTTTTTTTTCTAGCACTTTTCGCAACCTTCGTACGACGGAGGGGGGCTAGTTCAGCTGGGAGCCAGAATATCCTTGAAGGCGCTAATAGTTGAAGGAGGGGGGTCCCTCAACCCAAGGCCGAGCGGGGTGCGGTGACAGGGAGGTGGGAGCAGCTAGGAAAGGGGGCTGCTAAAATCCCCCCCCTCCATGTGTGAGACCCTGCTGGAAATTCGTCTGTCTGTCATCTAATCCATCCATATGAATGGAGACCTTGGTTCCAGGCAGACGTATATAAACGAACTTCACTGTCTGCCTGCGAAAGGGGGTCCTCGACTTATGACCACAGTGAGGGCGCCCTCAAATTTGCCTCGATAAGCGAAACACCGGCCGAGCGAGTTTTGGCCCCCGTTTCGCGGCTTTCGTCGTCAGGCGAATCACGGCCGACGTAAATCCAGTAACAGCGGCTGGTTTGTTCAGCGAAAGTGGGGACCCCCACCGGGACCGTCATAACTATGAACCAGACGCTGAGCGCCTGACGTCGGATCAGGGGACCGTGGAGATGCCACAACGGTCGTTAAGTGTGAAAAAAAACCAGCCGTAAGCGGCTTTCTCCTGTGCTGCCGTAACTTTGAACGTTCGCTAAATGAGCCGTTGTAAGCCGAGGACTTGCTTGTACTTGAGGATGGTTGACTCTTACGTCGGGCCAAGTTTGGTTCCTTTTTTTAAACTCATCGCCTAATCATTCCTTGCCAGCAGCTGTTCCTACCGAGAAGGAATACTTAGCCTGGCGCACCGAAAACGTCGGACAACGAATGGAGATTAAAACATTTGGAGAGGAAGGTTATAAATATCCGAATATCAGATGTTGAATTGACAAATTGGGTGAAAATCCCAGCAGAAAAGATGGCAGATGAACAGAGTCAGAAGGGACCTTGGAGGTCATCTAGTCCAACCCCCTGTCCAAGCAGGAGACCCTACACAATTTGTGACAATAGGAAGTCCAGTCTCTTCTTGAAAGCCTCCAGGGAGGAAGCTCCCACAACTTCGGAAGGCAACTTCTGTTCCTGGTTGATTGTTCTCACTGTCAGGAAATTCCTCCTTATTTCCAGGTTGAATCTCTCCTTGGTCAGTTTCCATCCATTGTTCCTTCTCTGGCCTTCGGGGGCTTTGGAGAATAGCTTGGCCCCCTTCCTCATCTCTGTGGCAGCCCCTCAAATATTGGAAGATGCTCTCCTGTCTCCCCTGGTCCTTCTCTTCCTTAGACTAGCCATGTCTCTCTTCTTTCTTTTTTCACTATTTTTTCCTTCCTTCCTTCCTTCCTTCCTTCCTTCCTTCCTTCCTTCCTTCCTTCCTTCCTTCCTTCCTTCC